GTTTAGGAACTTTAAAAATATACAAATGTGAAACATAAAGAGCAAGTACTTCAACACAGATTTGTATAAATTGAAAATAATTCTATTAAATTTAATTTTGAATGTTCTGCTCATACAGCATTATATAGCTGACATTTTATATAACTTAATGAGTGAAGTGGAGGTTGTCATCTTAAATTGTTTATGCTTTAAAATTGCAATAAAAGGGGGAAAATGTGAAAGAGAAAGGAAAAAATCCAGACCAACGCATTTACAATATATATCTAGCCCACCCATCACATTATGCCATAATTAACTAAATAAGCAACAACTGGTTGGATTCTCAGTGTAGTGTGAGAATGCTAGTAGTTGTTGCTTCAATTAAGCCATAAACATAGTTTGTAAACCACAATAGTTGGATTCATAAAACATGTTAAATCAAAGCCAAGCAAGCTATATAGTGTCTTAATACAAAGTCCACAGCTGGACATATATAGCTTTAATTTTGATTAAGAAAAATTTGCACACCAAAAATACTTCTATATAATTTTCTTTATACAAATATGGTAATGATAAGCTAGATTTTGATTCGGTACTACATTCCAAAAATTTTAAAATGAGGATAATACTTTAGGCCAAAAACGGCAAATCAATGAATGAAACAAAACAGCATAGAATATTACAATATGATTCAAACTACTCTATTTCTTCCTCCATCATGCTAAGAAAAAAAAATTAATCTGGGATCCCACTGCAATCATTTATATTTATATGTAGAAAGGCCATGCAAAATATTTGCAAAGAACATTGGTGTAACATCTTCTTGAAGTGTTAAAACAGCCATGTTCTCCAGAAGATGGCTGCTTCAAAGGCTTTCCTTGACAGTATGCTCATACATGTATAAGTATAAACAACATTTCTATTGTGATCACCAATGAAGCAGCTATGTATGCAGGTATTCCAACTTTCCTGGAGGATGAAGATACTTTAATGCTTAAAGAATGGGTACTTTCTTTCAGCCAACATGCTTTGTGAAGCAACTTGACTGAATGCTTTGTGTAGCATTATCTAGTCATCATAAATAGAATTATTCAGCAAGCATTTATTGGAATTTTATTTAGACATTGACAAGACTATCCCTGGCCTGATTTCCCCTGAGTGAGTCAAACTGAAAATCTCCCAATAAAATCCAATATATTTGAGAACTCCTGGTTTACAAGGCAGAAGAGCACCAAAAATAAACTAAACTTATTGATCACGGAGAATAGCAAAAATGCTATCTATGAGTATAGTCCTTATCAGCAATGTTTATGTCAATCTACATGACTTTATGGTGCAAGTTACAAATTATTTAAGACAGAGTGGTGCAATGGATGAAGTATCCTTACGAAGCGTTTTGCATATTTGAAACTTGAAGGTCCACGCCAGAATAAAGCTCACTTTTTCATAAATGCTTACCAATCATAAATGCAAATCTTTAAGGTATCACAAGAATCTCTGTAACCTTTTTGTTATACAATGTAATATTCAGACTGAAATCACTGTGAACACTGCAAAAAAGATTCTCAATCATCTTTTCTTCTATTATTCATATTGTTATATTTCTAAAAGAGCTTTTTTAAAAAAAAAGAGGGACAGAGTAACTCAAATACATTAATTAATCTATACATTTTCATCTCTTGACCTACGACAGAGGTTGCTTACAATTTCTAAACCACAGAAGCCTAAAGTGAAGCACCTTCTAAAAGATGCTACTAATCTGTAATTTTTAATGTGATTTAAAGGGAAAAATATAAAATGGACAGTAAACTATAATATGATTGGATGGTAATGATATTAACTATATTTAATTAAATGTAAAATAAATAACAGGGTTTTTTTTGGTATTTTCAGTACTATTACTTTTTGCAGTGCTAAGACCATGAAATTCTCATCCCTGAGAAAGTGTTATACCCTGATCTACATAAACAAACCGACAATTACAGACTGACTCCATGTATTAAATATGAAGTAATTACAATGTGAATAAAAAGCAAAGCTACAGAAATATGATTCAAAGAATGTTGAAAATATATCACTATATATGACAGGATACACTCAAAGAATATATATTATATATTTTTCAATGGCATATAATTGAAGGCAATGTGACATTTCCACTTTTGTTCACATTACATTCCTGAAATGCATGCCCACTAGTATTTATTCCAGAGTATTCAACATGGATGGAGAAGACATAATATAACCTTTGACACCTTGACTGGTCTCTCCTTGCAAGGAAAATATGTTCTTAAGAACTTATCACTGAAGTCTCTTATTGAGGGTGGGAAGGAGACGGAAGAAAGCTCACAGGCCACCAAGGCATTGCACAAAACATACATCATAAGCTCCTTCTGCAAGGAGAACAGGAATAATAGATAGGACAGACATGGACCAAGAAGTGTCTAAAAGACTTCTAGCAGAGCAGCAGCAGGTTAATTTCATCAGAATAACATATTAAGAACCTCTTCCAATAATTGGCAATAAGATCCTGACCTCACAAATTAACTCATTGCCTAATTATATGTTCACACTTGTAAGTGACCAATATAAATAATCTGCTATCAAGTCTTATGCATGTGAATTTGGCATAAGATAGGGTCACTTTGTATACGTAATTAAATAATTGATACTGACATTATAAATTGTGCAATTCACAGTTACAGCATTGTTCTATACAAAGCCAGAAAATTTAGAATTATTTCAAAAATCGCCATGCTACTGTACAATAAATTTAATGTCTGTCCAACTCAATTAATACATTAAGATGTCAAAACTTAATATGCATTCTACCAATGAAATGTTAATGATAGCCAGTTAAAATGCATATGCCATAATGAGATTTAGTTTTCGCTTAACATAATGTGCAAACCTATCTAGAGTTGTTTGTAGATATCTGTTTCTTTTGTGGGATGATCTGTGTATCAACTAAGCAAAACATGCCATGCTATGGTTTAGTGCTGTGTATGCATCAAAAAAGAAGTTCACTAATTTTACTGTGGGTCTTAAAAATTCTCTATTGCCAAAAATACAAAATCTTGCCCACATTCAATACATTAACTTAATGACATTTTCTGATAAATATATGAATACTACACTACACATATTTTATATACCAACAGTGTAGCTCATTCCATATTTCTATAGTCCAACCTCATTCCTCTTGATTTTCTAAGATTGCTGTTTTCTTTGCTTGAACATACAGGATACTGATAGATAATCTTTGCTTTGAACACAGAATCAGTAACTTTTATGGTGATTTCTATATACTCTCCCTATGCATGCTGTAAACATTCTAAGCCAGTTACTTTCAAGCAAAATATAAATGAAAAACTTTTAACAATCACTAATATGAAACAATTTCATGGGAGAAACAGTAACGCTCTGTTTTGTGTGAAAACAGTTTGTGAATAATCTTCACCCACCAACATTTTACAGGCTCATCTGTAAGAAAGAAAGCAGAATGAAGAATATTTATCCTGACTACAAACTTTGTTTCTCTTGTTCAGTTTAACTCTTGTACACACTGAGGTATTTGCTGCATAGATCTCATTTACCATTGCAGAACATGCAATGAACATTTTCCTCACAAAAGAATAATATTAAAACTAAAGTTGTTTTTAACATGGTTAGACATCTTCATTGCAGCAAAAATGACAAAACTTCCTTAAAAAGTAACACCTTATCCCTGAAAAAAATCCCACTGTTTATGCAATCAACACTTCAAGTCAAAGTCATTTCAAAATTAACTAAATTAACAGAAAAATACTTGAGAATTTCATTGGTTCCTATGAAGCTGCTACTAGAAATACAGTTAGAAATGCAAGCTTTAAAAAGCAACTTGAGAGCAAATCTCATGAAATAAGCAGGACATAAATGTAATAGTTTTTTTTAAAAAAGGTGACTTGTTAAAATTGTGAATTACATGAATGCAGGAGAAAAGTATATTGAATTTTACTAGGTTTCTGTGTAAACTGGAATGGACACTAAGATTTTATTTTTAATCTAACTACTGCTTCGAAACATATTTTCAATAATGGAATTGTAGTCTGTACTGCTGTGACAGCTGCCAAATTATTTGTGTAATTGGGCACAGTTTCTTTCTTCACAAAGGCCAACAATTATTTGCCACTACTTTCCTGAATCAATAATGAAACTTTTGCTTAGGACAAAAAGAAAAGGTATTGCCTTTCAAATGTATACATATATGTACACCAACATAATCAGTGAAACAGATTCAAATATTGAAAATCCCCAAGCGTTCAGATTACAAAAATCCTTGATGAAAGAATGTCTTTGTGTTTTCAACCTTCAGTTGAAGCAACTGTCAACTGAAATCATCACAAGGTATGAAGCAATGTATGGAAGAAATCATCAAAAAATTCCTCCCAAATGACAACTATGCCCTACTTCAGAACTAGGTTATTTTGCCTTCTGATTTCAAACTGTACTGTGGGCAGTTTCGTTTATCGATACTAGCGTCCAAAAACAACTTTGCAAACATCCAAGGTGGGTCCGTTGACTGTCTGAGGCGCGACAGGTATGAGGCCGGATCCCGTGAGTTAATTTATTCTTCTGTGTAAAAAGACTCACGCGCTTATCAGTGTGATTTAAAAAAAAAAAAAAAAAGCTAAGAGCAGACCGGCCCCTTACAAAGGCCTGGGAGAAGCGTCCTTCCCTGGGGCAAATGACGGGCCCTCTAACCTCCCTCTTCGCTTCCTGGGACGGAAACTTGGGCTCTCCATTGCTCGCCCAACCGCGGCACCCTGGCTCGCTGGATTCCCAAGCTGCAGGGCCGACTTCCTTCCCCCACCCCAACCTCAAGAGTCGGTGACAGGCCGGGTCGAGGAAGCGAGAGAAAGAAAGCAGCGAGGCTTCTAGGCAAATTAGCCAGGCGAGGCCGGCGTCTCGTCCCATCGCCAGGCCGAGCCAAGCGGAGCCAACCCAGGCCCTGCGCAGCGACGCAGCCTCAGTTCACTCACCGGGAATGCTCGGATCCGCATCTTGGTGTCCCTCCGGCTGCCCGTCCCCTTGCTCAGGTTCGACATTTTGGGGCTCGGCGAGAGCGGAGCCCCTTCCTGAGGACCAGGAAGAAGTGGAGAGGGAAAGGGATCGGGGAGAAGCTCCTCCGGCAACAACAACAGAGGCACCGGCGACCTTTATCCCGACAGTAGGCAGTAAAAAGCCGAGCCGTGGCAGGCCCAGGCGGCCGTCTATTCTCACTCAGCAGCAGCGGTAGCAGCGGCGGTAGTGGCGGCGGCGGCGGCGGCGGCGACTCCCTCAGCCTCCTGCGCCTCCTCCTCCTCCGCCGCGATGGCGGCCAAACATCGCTCAGTGCGCAGGGCCGAGCAGGCCCCCTCCCCTCTCCCCGAGACACAGACACAGACAGATCGGGCGGGGGCGACGGCGCAAGAGAGAAGGGGAGGGAGGAGGAAAGGGGAGGAGCGCAGCCGGCGGGGAGGAGGGATAAGGGGGAGTGGCGTGGAAACCCAGCGAGGAGGGGAAGATTCGGCAGATCTCGCGAGAGCTCCAAACGGCTGCCTCGGTAAACGAAGAGTGGGGCGGGGGAGGAAGTATTGTCTTTCTCCTCGACTGCCGCTGGGGGCGCGCGAGCGAGCGGGGCAGATGATTGGACGACGGCGGCGGCGGCGCGGTGGCGACAGGATTTCGTTGTCACGCGATAGAAGCTCAGAAAGAGGAGGTCTGATTCATACGTAGTGTTGCTCGACTGGTTTTTGTTTTTTTCCTCGGTTCATGTTTGCCTGACACGTATATGAATACCTAGTTTTGGTCACCCACACATCTCTTGAGTTCTATTTAGTTGCTTCGTGAGGGAGGCTAATGGTTTTTGACTGGCAAGAAACAAAAATGGCAGTGTTAGAACTGTAGGGCTCGGTAGCTGTCACAAATTCAATAAATCCAGTGAATCAAAAATATATAACGTTAGCTGTTCTCACGAACATGCTATTATACTGCAAAACCAATTTACTTGTTTAATATGTATGCTATAATAACCAATTCAGGCTTCTGCTAAACTTAGAGCAAATCAGGTTGGTTTTAGATAGATGCATATATAAAAATGATTGTAAACAGTCGCTTTCATCAAAACTGCCATGTAATTCAAAACCATATGTGTTTTGAGATAACCCTGTGAAATAGCTAAAAGTATTTAGTTTTTACATACGTTAAGCCAAAATGTGCATTGTCAGCTAACGGGCATAGTAGAATGCTTCCTGCCTGAATACAGATCTGAACTCAAGTCTCCAATTTAAGAACAAGTTTTATCTATCACTGTGAAACCAAATTAGGATTTCAAGAATATGCACATATCTAAGTTCTCTGTCTGCAGCTTAAGCCAATATTGGTTTGTAAGCCTTAAATATGCTCCAGAATGCTGTGCTTCTCTGTCCTATAGGATGACAGGAGACAAATCCTTAGTATTTTCAAAGAGAATACTAATCCAGAAAGAGATGTGTTAAACAGCACATACTATTATTTCCCAGAGGAGTAGTATGTTTTTAAGGTCAACCATAATGGAAGCTAATAAGCAGCTACAAATAAATTAGATATGTTTGGGAGAAATGTAAAGATGCTGTGGTGTGACAGCTATATATAGAAAGAAGCATTATGTTTAGGTGAACTGAACACATTTCCTATGGCAAAAGAACCATACAAAATCATAGCAGAAACTTTATTTTGTTTTTGTTTACTTTTCTATGAACATAGCTGAATCCCATCATTTCCTATTGGTTTCCAAACTAGCATATGGTATAATCATAGGCTGTATCCACGTATTTAAAGTGGGACAAACTTTTGAGTAGAGATGTATAAGATTGTTCTGCAAATCTCATTTGGAATCTCAAGCTACTTTCAGAGTTTGAATCTTATCTTTTAAACCATTTAGATACTTAAATGTTACTGGAATCGAAGCAATAAAACGCAAAGATTACTTTCTTTGGAGAGAAGTGCATTAAACACAGTTTTCTGATTTTCTGTTTGTAGCTTTGTTAAGAAACACTAATATTCCAATGAGGTAAAAATAATAAATTATTTAACTATGTCTAAGGAATAGTTTGTGCTTGGTCAAATAAATAGGCCTGGATACTAGACTTAAATCGTTATTGGCTGGCTGGGTTCAGACAGCATAAAGAATTGTAGTGTGTTTAACCATAATTTTTGCAACATGGTTTACAAAACACAGTGTATGAGCTGATACACATGCTAAGCCAGAGCCAAGCCAACTACAACAAGGCTATTGCTGTGAGTGAATTCTGTTACAGCATTACATTTTTAGTGCAATAAATAAATATAACAAATAGGCTTTCAGGTAGCCATTGTGAGGGACAACAGTACAGTGGGCTATACACTTTCTTTACATTAAATAACAAACATTTTCAGAGTCCATATGAGGGACATAAGCAAGTGGGTATTTTGCTTCTTCAGAGATTCATGCAGCAGGTTTTGAGGGAGGATTTTTCCCTTGAAATTGTTTCAAATTGGCTAAAGAATATGCGGGAGAAATTAAAGTGCTGCTTGTAACAACTGCTTCACAGTAAAAAGCTAAATACGAGTCACACAAATAAGGCTATCATAAAAATAAGGAAGGACATTTTGTGAAAACAAAGTTTAGCAAGCCATAGATAGGTGTGTCCATTCATTATGCAGGCTTTCTATTAAAGGTTTAAAACTGAATGACACACCAGGAAATGAACTGCTTATGCCAAAATAAAACAACTGCATATGTTTCTTATTACATTTTTTTTACTAGTAATCAATATTCTTTTAATAGGAAGCAAAAACATATTTTACAAATCAGTAGTGTTGGAATATGCTGAATTTAACAATTCAATTGTAAATATATTGGCATTTCTCGCCATAATCTGGAATAGACTACCAAGATTTTAGAAAGCAATTTTTTTCCCTAGAGTTCATCAGATTTAATCAGAATGCTAAAAATTAATTGGTGGGTTAATTAATTTTATAGGGCCATCAATGTAGGTATTATTTTTAAGAATGTAAAACAAATAAGCAAACAAAATGACGTACTCACTGCCCTTTGAGACCTATATTTTTATTTTCTTGATAAAGTTGTGACAGCTATACCAAAAAAAAAAAATTACATTAATTAATGTGTTTGAAATCTGTAGAATGGCATAATATAAATGTGAGTCTGTCACTATGTATATCAGCTTTCTCATAAAATGGAATGCTATTCAAACATCCTTTACTGGAGATGTCATCTCAAAAGTTAGCAAAACTGGCTAGGCTTCAGATTCATGAATTCCTTCCTCCATCCATCTTCCTGCTTGGAGAAATGAAGAATTGAATTAGAAAAACATTTGATTTGATTCTCTGGAATTTGCAATATATATCAGAAGATATGCCCTATTTGCATTTACTTCTAGCTGTGGTGAGAAAATAAAGGAGAGGAATACACAAGGATCAGATCAAATGCTGCTATCTGTAGATGAATTCCTAAGGCATCTATGTACCAACTTTGTTGTTTGACAGATTCATCACATGGACTTCTTAAATCAAGAATCAGAACAAAAAGGGATGCTGAGATGATACAAGATCAGTCCTATATCATTATACACAGCCTCAAAGAAAATACACAATACAAATACAAAAGTTAAACGTGCTAGGAAATAGCAAATCAAGAAAGTCCCAGTTATCAGCTGAAAATCTGGGACAGGAAGTAAAAGCATAACTTCCATGTTCTTATCACAGCCATCTTGTTTCCATAGTAACAAAAGAAATATGTTCAGCATTTCAACAACTATCAAGGAACTGAAATGGATAATGAAAAAGGTGTTTTTTAACCAAGCATTACTAGGAAGTTACACAGAAAGTTTGATTCCCTGTGTCCATATGAGTCTTATATTTTGAGATTATCATCAGAGGCCTTCCTTTGAGTTGCATGACATAAAGTACATAATTAAATGCATGTATAACATCATAATATGGAAGAATTAAATATGCCTTCAAAATGGCAGACTGAAAAGAATCATATAATTCGTAATTTTGCAAAATTGATTCATAAAATACGTAAAGCTTAAAAGTGGGCTGCATCATTTCAGACTGATAGAGGAAAATCATTGTTCTTCTAGATCTGTGTATTGTGTGTGTACCTCTAACCATATAAAATTATCTATTACTAATGTGTAGAGACAAAATTTTGCTTTTTGATATCCAAGCCTGCTATTAGATTTGGATATGGAGCCAGTTTGGTGTAGTGGTTAAGGCACCA